GTCCATGTGTGGGAGATTCTCTTTTGTGGGAAATGAAGTTCCAGCAATCTATTCTCTGCTTGATTGTTTATAAACGACTGTTCCTTCCAAGAGAGATCAGCCTTGAGTGCTCCATGCTTCTCTCTGCCTTGGCCACTGACGGGTGTAGGTTGCTGGGGGTGACGGCTCACGCGTGTTTTTTAAGAGTTATTTTATTGAGTTATTTTATTGGGGCGACCCTGGTCAACACAACCACATAGTTTTCAAGTGTAAACGCAACAAGACACCATCTGCACATGACATCGTGCACCCATCACCCCACAAAGTCTCTTTCCGTCCCCATTTCTCCCCCTTTGTCCCTCCCCCTTGCCCTCCACTCCCCCACCCCTTTTCCTCTGGCCCTCACCATACCTGGCTGCGGCTCTGGCTGTGGATACGGGTCCTGCTATGGCTATGGCTATGGCTGGGCCACTAGCCACTTGTCTACAGGGCCTCCTGTTGCTAACCGCTAGGCAGACCTTGCTGGACCTTTGGAATGACCCCTCCGAGTCCAGGTGGAATTCCCCGACTGTGACTCTCACCCCAAAGTGAAGAGCTCTGAGATGAATAAAGACATATTTATAAAAAGGAAACCCCCAGGTGCCATGTCTAATTCCATACACTAATCTATGTCCTTTCAATGGCTGACTTGGGTCCGTAGGAAGGAAAAGGGTTAGGATGGAGCTGGGACCCTGTGGCAAGGTGAGAATTCTATGTCCAGCTAGAAAAAAGAGTGTTTTGCAAGTCGCTGCTTATTCTAGAACTCAAAATGAGAAACCCTTCATCTAATAAGCAAATCCATTGGTTGATATGAAACCTGAACACATGCCTCGCCGGCCGCACGCATGCCTGTGCCTGCTCTCTTTCCTCTTCGAGCAGGTGTCAGCTCTGTGCTTCCATGGAAAGATGAGTGTTTTCAAGTCCAGTTTGTCTCCCCCTGTGTCTCACTCTGGCCCCGCCCGCCCGCCCGAGCCCCCAGAACACGGGTCCCCTTTGATGGCGGCGTCCTTGCATTGCTGTGTTCTCTCCTCCTGGAAGTCAGTGCCCCATTGTTGCTCTGCCTCTCGTGCCTCCCACAGGGGGAAAAAACTCTCTGTTTCTGTGCCAGGTGTGATCTATGAGCTGTAGGCTTTTTGTGGAGGCCATTTATCAAATTATGGAAATTATTTTCTGGGTCTTGTTTACCGAGATTTTAAAAATTCATGAGTGGGCCTGGCTGGGTGGGCTCAGATAGAGTCCCAGGTTTAATCCCGGTCAAGGGCATGTACCTTGGTTGCAGACTCCATCCCCAGCCCTGGTTAGGGTGCAAGGGAAGACAACCAATCAGTGTGCCTCCCTCACATCGATGTTTCTCTCTTTCTCATCTTCCACTCTCTAAGAATTAATGGAGAAGTATCTTTGGCAGAGGAGTAGTAAGAATTCATGCATGCACCCTGAATTTTCTTTTATCTGAATCTGTTAAGAGCATCCTTCCCCAGCACGGCCCCAGCGAGGCCCCAGCGGTGACGGCAGCAGGTGGCGCTGGTCTGCAGCTTCCACTGGAGAGCGTGTGGGACTGGTTCCCGGGACCCGCTGGGGCACGGCGTGAGGATAGGCCCCTGCGGTGGGAGCCAGGTGTGCGGGCCTGACGGGCAGAGGAGTTTTGAGTGTCTGGATGGATTATGTAAAGAAAGATTACTTTGCTCCAATGCCAACATTGCCAGAAATACATTCTACAGGTTTAAAAAGCGATTTCTCCTCTACTGTCAAAATGTTCCTAATTCTATATTTGGCAATAAACACGTCCAGGTTAAAAGAGAGAACATAAAACATAAAGGCCATTTTCCAGATGTTAGTTTTTGCCAACAAATCTTCATTTCAAGTTAGACCCGCACTCGATGATTCAAATTGTATGTAATGAGTTTGCGGGAACGGAAAGGAGAAAGGATTGAGTCTTACAAACCTGAGGAATTCGCCCCTCCCATTCCCTTATGGGTAACCAGTCTCCATGTTCCAGTTTTCTGAGGATTATGATAAACTAACCAAGAGCCGTTTCACTTTTTAACCTGAAATTCTATAGCAACTCGAAATGCACACAGAAAAGACTATAAACCATTTCCCGCAGAAATAGGTGAAGGTTCACAAATTAACCAGCCCAGGGCCCAGCACTCAGACCGGGACACAGACTCCTTGCAGGGCCCGGAGGGACACTGCCTTCCTGGCACCATCCCTGCCTCCCGCCCACCCCACCCGGGAGCCGCTCACTCTGTGGGCAGCTGTGAATCTGCTTCTCTGCCTTCACACTCGACAGAGTGAGTTCCCCGGGACACACTGGTCTTACCGTGCCATTTGCTCGCACTGTGATTGTGATATGTGTGCACTTTAAAAAAAAATAAATCTATATTGTTCAGATTATTACAATTGTTTCTCCTTTTCCCCCCCACCATAGCTCTCCTTCACCTGGTCCCCACTCCACCTTCTTCCCTTACCTCCCTCCCCACCCACGCTGTCCTCATCCATAGGTATATAATTTTTTATTTTTTTTACATGTCAGTAGTGGGACGATCCACCTTTTTACTTGCAAAGGGTGAACAGAAAGCTACTATATTTCTCTAGGACACTTACAGTTTTCTTCACCTTAAGAAGAAACTGAATAAAAGTAAATGTCCATGGTATATGATTTTTGTCCAGTCTCTTCCTGTACCCCCCACATAGACACCCCTTTCCCCCCTGAGAATTATCAATTCCTTCCCATTCTATGCCCCTGATTCTATTATCTTCACCAGTTTATTCTGTTCCTCAGATTTTAAATTCACTTGACTTTTAGATTCACTTGTTGATAGATATGTATTTGTTGTTCATATTTTTATCTTTACTTTCTTTCTTTTTAAAGAACACCTGTTAGCATTTCATATAATACTGGTTTGGTGGTGACGTGCTCCTTTAGCTTTTTCTGATCTGAGATGTGTAGACTTTGGTGGAAGTGGCTTGTGTTCGTGGTGGGCGTGCTCCCTTGTGGGATGAACCTCAGTGTGCTCTCCTCCAATCACTGTGGGAGCTGGGCGTTTCGGTCTTCACAGGACGGACATTGCTGCTGGACATCACTACTGTCAGGGCGAGGGAGTCCTCGGTGCCTTGGGGGAGAGGGGGAGCACTCCCCAGGGGTCCCCGGGAGGACGGGATCTTGTGGGAATCGTGGCTGTTGGTGTAACATGAGGGGGTCCCTGTCAGGGTCCCAGCTCTGCCTCTGGCGGAGGGAGAAGTGCCGCCGTGCCCGTTGGGGGCCAGGATCGAGGCCACCGCCCTCGGTCTCTGTCCGCATTGAAGTCCAGCTTCTGACCGGCTCAGCCTGAGCTCCCAGCTGCCCATGGGGGTGGGGCTGCCAGCCATGGCCCCGTGGCTGCTGAAGCCTACACATGGAGAGTGCAGGTCACGGAGCAGGAGAGAGCGAGGGAGAACCACAAGGCCAGCGTGAGCAAGAGCGCAGGGACTCGGTCTGACTTCACACACCTGCAGCGGCCCCGCCCTCCCACCCGGGATCCTCTCCCAGGTGAGATGGACAGGCCAGGACCGTCCCTCCCTCCCCCACTGTCACTGCCCACGCACCCTCTCTGCCCCTCCCTGTGGGATCTGCAGGGAGGGGAGGGGCCAGGGGTCCCCTGGGGGGTGGACCGAGGATTCCCGGGAGAGCTGCCAGGGGCCACGCCTGCCATCTGTCTTCCTCTCCTTTCCTTCGGATGTTCGTCTGCACCGCCTCCTGGGACGGTCACGTGGGCTCCGGCAGGCATCCCCACGGCCATCTCATGAGGAGCTGATGGAAGCACAGCTTAATGGGAGAGGGAGCCTTCCTCACCTCCCAGGCCCACGTGCTCCCTGCGGTGTGGCTGGCGCTGGGTGTGGCCGAGGCTGGGCTCGGTGCCAGGCCGCTGGCTGGTCAGACGGGAACAGGCTGGGGGTGGGAAGTGGGGGAAGAACCAGAGGAAGCACACGTCCCATCGAAGTTGGTTATGCTCTGGTCTTTCCGGCATCACTGTCACCTCCGGATGTGCCAGGGTCTCTTCCTCTCCCCCTCTCTCTTCCTCCTCCCTCTCCCCCTCTCTCCCCTCCTCCCTCTCTCTCAACCTTCTTCTCTCTCCCTCTTCCTTTCTCTCTTTCTCCCCTCACCCTCTCTCTTATCCTTTCTCTCTCTCTCATCCTTCCTCCCCTCTCACCTTTCCTCCCTCTATCTCATCCTTCCTCCAGTCTCTCTCCCATTCTCTCTCTCTCCTCTCCCCTCCCCACCTGTGTGAGTCAGAGTTCTCGGAGGAACAGGAGGGGTTCTACAGATGCCCCCTCTGCTCTGTCCCCAGGGGTGGGGGTGTTGGTACAGGATGGGCTCACGTCAACCTGGGGCCAGGAGGCCCGTGACCAGCTGGCCACCTGCACGACCGGGAAGCAGGAAATCAAGTACACGATTCAGTCTGAACCCAAAGACCTGGGAGCCGCCACAGCTGTCAGGGCAGGAGGTGGGCGTCCTGCTTCAGGCAGACAGAACACGCCGCCCTCCTCTGTCTTTCTGTCCCACGGCCCTCAGGGAGCGGCTCCCGCCCACCCACCGGGGAGGGTGTCTCCTCACTCATCCACTGACTCCAATACAAATCTCTTCCCGACCCTTCCCTCCCTCCCCCAGACACACCCAAAACCGTGTGTTATCAGCTCCCTGGGCCCAGCCTGGTGACAGATAGAATTAACCTTCACGTCATCCCATTTGCCAACATCCCAACACTCACACAAATAACGAAGAAAAATCAATTTAAATGCAAGAAATTAACATGGCAACGAGATGTTTATTAAGATTAATTTAAACTTCTCTTGCAGGAAACTTATTGACCAAAAACGTCAGCATCCCAAAGTCAGTAAAGCAGCCAAGGAGAAGGTTTCCAGAAAGTCGTGGAACACTCCGGGCCATTTCCTTGACTCTGACCGGTTCCTTCCAGGCGCTTGAGGAGGAGGTTGGGATTGCTCGGAGGGAGGGTTGTGGTTGGATGCTGGTGGCTGGGGTGGATCAGCTGGCTGGGTTTCTCTGGAAGCTTCTCAGTAGCACCCATACAAGCAGAACCTTCTGCAGCAAGATGGGCGGTTGCCGCCATAGCCGTAGACGCCAGAGCCCCAGCCGTAGCCGCAGCCCAGGCCGCCGTAGCCACAGCCATAGCCCAGGCCACCATAGCCACCGCCGTAGCCGCAGCCGTAGCCACGGCCATAGCCACAGCCGTAGCCGCAGCCACGGTAGGCGCAGCTCACGCCGTTGTGGCCGTAGCCCAGGCCTGTGTAGTAGCTCATGGTCTCAGGAGGGAGGGATTGATGGACGAGCAGGGAGAAGGTGTCCTCAGTCTGAGCATCCCCATGGACCACGGTCCTTTTATACGCGCCTCTGTTGTGGGCGGGACACACTGCAGGGCTGTTTACGACGTATTTCCTACTAATTTTCTCAAGTGCACATCCCGAATCTTGGCTTTATTAGACAATGGGAGGCCCTCGTAAGGGAGGGGATTGCCGTTGAGTCAGCATTCCTGTGACAAAAGCTTGTGCCTCTGATGTGTTTTCTTGTTCTCACTTTATAACCCTCACTCACCTCTGTTCATGAAGCCTGAAGTGTCATCATCGACCAGCTTCCCAAACACTGAGTTTTCCATCCTCTTGTTACAACCACATACGTAGATCATGCCGAGGACCCTCTCCTCCACAGAGCGCACAGGCGGGGGGCTGGAGGCCTTCCCGGGGTATCGTCTGCGTCAATCAGTGCGTTCCGTGCAGCAGGAGAGGCCATAGAGCTGCATTTTGGATCTTCATAAGCTCATCGTCAGGATCTAATAACTCACTATTCCACATTAGCTCATCTTCTCCCAGTGTGCTTTCTTCTTACTCTTGTTATTTCTGCTGAATATTTAAAAATCAACCCAAGACAATTTTTATAAGTGCTCAGTGTGTATCACAAAATGTTTTAAAAACATTCTATCTATCATCTATCATATCTATCTATCTATTTATTATCTATCTATCTATCTATCTATCTATCATCTATCTATCTATCATTCATCTCTATCTGTCTGTCTATCTATCTATCTATCTATCTACCTACCTACCTACCTACCTATCATCTATCTATCATTCATCTCTATCTATCTATCTATCATTCATCTCTATCTATCTATCTATCTATCTATCTATCTATCTATCTATCTATCTACCTCTTCTATCTATCATCTATCTATCTATCTATCATTCATATCTATCTATCTATCTATCTATCTATCTATATCTTCTATCTATATCTATCTACCAGTCATCTTCTATATCTATCTATCTATCTATCTATCTATATCTTCTATCTATATCTATCTACCAGCCATCTTCTATATCTATCTATCTATCTATCTCTATCTATCTATCTATCTATCTGTCTGTCTATCTATCTATATATCTATCATCTATCTCTCCACAATCCCATAATCACACATAAATTCAGAAGCAGTTTCTTAGAATCCTCTAACACTTAGTTCATGCTCAGGCTCCTTGATTGGTTCTCACATATACATTTATAACTAGTGCCCGATGCAAGAATGAAGATTCGTGCAAGAACGGGCCTTCCTCCCCCTGGCTGCCAGCACCGCCTTTACTCTGGCCGGAGCAGCCTTTCTGCCTTCCCACACTGCCCAGAGGCCACTCGGCACCTGGATATGCAAATTGCCCACCATCTTTGTTGGGTTAATTTGCATACACACTCCTGATTGGCTGGTGGGTGTCGTAAAGATACAGTCAATTAGCATGCTACTCTTTTATTCGGTAGATTAACTTTTTTCCATGTTGGGACTCATGTTCCCCTTAGATATAACGTCACTTAACCCTTTTTGAAGATCTAATAGTATTTCCCTCACTCCTTTCTTTCATGCTGTTATAGTGTGAGGAAGCCGTACTGTTGTCGCATTCTCATATGTGAGCGTGGCTCCTGCCCCCCATGTCCTCTAGCTCTCACACTGTTAGCGTCTTCCCGGTAGCTGTGGAGCGCTGATGTGATCCTGGTCATTCTCCTTATGTCGGTTCATCCTCACCCAGGGACATTTTTGCCTTGTTTTTTAGGGAGAGCAGAAGCAAGAGGGAAAGACAAAGAGAAACACAGGGATGGGTTACCTTCTGCATGAGCCTGGCCTGGGCTGGGGAGGAGCCTGCAACCAAGGTCCATGCCCTTGCCCGGAATCGAACCTGGGACCCTTTGGCCCGCAGGCTGACGCTCTATCCACTGAGTGACACAGGCCGGGGCTCACCTTATTTTTTAATAAGAAAGATTCTTGGTAGGTGCTCTGTGCACTTTCTTTTTCTAATTTATTGTATCATTTTTAAAACATTTATGGCATTTATTGGGGTGACATGGGTTAATAAAGTTATATAGGTTTCAGGGGTGTGACTCTGGAGTACATCATCTGTCTGTGGTATGTGTGTTCACCACCCCACATCCAGTGTCTTTCCCGCACCCTCTGTCCCACCTTTACCTTCTCCTGCTCCCCACCCCTCCCTCTGGTCACCACTCCTCCCTCTGGCCACCACCATGCCCTTGTCTGGGTCTAGGAGGACTTTTAAAAAAATATTTTTATTGATTTCTTTTTTACAGAGAGGAAGAGCGAGGAATAGAGAGTTAGAAACATCAATGAGAGAGAATCATTCACACAGCAGGCGAGCAGCGGGGAGGGCCCAGGGACACAGAGCTGGCGGGCGCATGCATAGAACCGATGCTTGTAGGCTCGGGGCCAACTGTGTGCACTTTTCCGCGTGTAGAGAGAGAAATTCCGTCCGCAGGAGAACACACTCAGGGTTTTATTTTAAATTAAACTTAATTTTCACGGCAGAGTTGTGTTTCTAACCCGGCATTGGCACGTGTCCTGTGTCTCCAGTCGGCTGACATGCACTGTGCAATGAGTGTCCCGGGAATGTGTTTTAGAAGATGCTTTTCCTGCTGCGTCTACTCAGTGATTTCTCTGTTCTATGGGGTCATTTTTAAGGATACGTTGTCCAATTCTCTCATCGGATCATCTGAGGGGTTGATGTTGTGGACTTGTCTCCCAGGGATCTGTGGCCACAGGATGGAGGACGAGGATGGAGGAGACCTGACCCTTCCCTTTGTACAGATGCTAATCCTGCCCCCTTAAGGCTGCCGGGCGCTGTCCAAGGTGCTGACCACTGGACTCTTCCTATGGCATTGTGGTCTTAGTAGTACTTGACTTCTCTCTGGAGACATAGACCGTGGCGGCTTTAGAAGGCCGTTGGAAACAATTCCAGTGTGCGGTAGGGCCACGCTGATCAAATTCTTTACACGCTGAGAAAACAAGGCACGGCCTCTCATAGTTTATGGCAAAGAGAGACGCCCTTTGTTAATCCTAACTCTGAGCCTCCTGGCTTACGTGAGGAGCTGACTGGTGAGTGAATGAACAAAGGACGAGTGAGTGAGTGAATACATATATGCAATGGACTTCGTAATAGAAATGGTGGATCTAAGGAGGTTTATAAAACAGCAGCAAGGCTCTCAGAGCGGGCACCGCCTCCCTCTGTCCCACGGGCCTGGACACGAGGTCCGTGTCAGTGACGTTGGACACAGCTTCCAGAGAGAAGTCCTAGCCGACATGGGGACTCCCACAGAAGTGTGACTTAAAGTGGGGTTAGCCCTGGCAGGTGTGTTCAGGGGTGAAGGCGTTGGGCCATTGAGGGGCAGCCTCTCTGTCCAGCACTGGTGTCTGTGGCTGGGACACGGCCGGTGTCCACTCTCCGTGGCCGCAGCAGAACCCACTCTGCTCCCCCATCAGCTCGGGTGGGCTGCTCCCTGAGGCTCTCTACCAGGAGGTCATTGGCTGGGCTGGAAGTCGGTGTGTCTGCACTCAGCTCCATTGGGTGGGGGCCACTGCGTTCTGTCTGCCAAAGGGCCTTGCTCCTTCTCAGGAACACCGGAGGGCCTTCTCCCACTTCCAGATGCTCAGCCTTGAGGTAGGACAGAGCACGCCCGAGTTCTGATGTCCCACTCAGTGGCTCTCCACCAAAGCTTCTCTCTGGGGAACAGTGATGGGATGAACCAAATAGTAAGTGCCGGAAACTGATCATTGTCACTAATAGGGAAATGTAAAAAGGGAAACCTGAAGGCTGGTCAACCTTAATGGCTCTGAGTGGTCGGAGCTATTCACTCATTGTTTAGTTGAGACATTGGTAGTTAAAGCAATCTCCACCCGTTAATCATATGTAAATTCTTGCTGATTGTCTATTATTGGAATTTTCTGCCAAAAGGATCTGGGTGTTTCTCATAGCCTCAATAAAAGAGATAGCAAGGCCAGAGCAGTGGTAGTGCTCCCCTTAGAGGTGGACTCCTGCCTGTTCCCCCCCTCCTACCTCCCCCCCCCCCCCGATTTCCCCAAATTAACTCTTTTCTAGTCTCTTTTCATTTGTGTGCAGCCTTCTCCTGAACCCAAACCCTGAACAGGAACCCTGAACCACAAATAAGAACAAGCATGATCGTAGAACTCACTGTGTGCCGGACCCTGGTCCACGGGCCTGACACACATTGACTACGTTAACCCTCAGAAGTACCCTGTGGGTGGGTGGTGTTGTTACCAGCCCATTTCCAATGATGCCACGGGGACTCCTGGTTATAGTGGTTGCACAGCCATAAGGAACAGAGATACAACTTGAACCCAAAGAGTGATTATAGAACTTTCTCTGGAATCCACTGTGCCCTTGGGGAACCTAGGAAGTCATCTAAGAATGTGAGTTTAGAAGCTACTTGACTTGATGATTGAATTTAGCTCTGAGCTTCGGCACAACGCAGACATAGTCCTCGGTGAGATTCTCACAATCTGAGCTGTGCTACCCAGGACCCGGATTTGTTGGTGAAACCTACTAGGTGTCACTGCCAGGCTCATTCTTCATACCCTTCACACCCCCTTGTAGCCAGAACACGAAGACCACAACTATGGTGAAAACTTAAAAAACAAAACAAAACGCTTCCATGAAAGTGTGGTCCCATGAATGAAGTGTCGCTGTGTCTGTTTTCTGGCTGTAGATTCAGATATAAATGTGGAACCCCTGGAAAAGTATTTGGGGTTTTAAAAATAGAAACATAAGAGGGAACATGAATGCACACAAGAAAGGAATTCCTCTTTATCAGGACAGCTGTTCCAGAATTTCCAGCGATGGACGGCATTTTGTCAAACGTCTCATGAAGTGGAGTTAATAGCTTCGGGCTTTTCGTAGTAAAGCACCTCTCACGTAGAATGAGAATTCCTGAAGGAACAAAAATGGTTTGGAGCAGCAGGGATGCGGTGGAGAAACGCCAGGTAAAGGTAGATTCTCATGACCTGCTGACTATCAGCCGAGAGAAGGTAAAGGTGTTGGTTGGCGGGTGTAGGTGAATGTCTATGGGAAATGGTGGTCTCCCATAAGGCTGGTGACAAATG